CCGATCGCAGCATGCGGCCGCCTCCGCTGTTCGTGTTCATGGTTTTGATGGCGACGAGGTTGCAACGGCCTCTCGCAAGTCGGTCGAGTTCCTTGATGCCGATGGCGACTGTCTAACGGACACCTGTTTGGCAAAAAACTTTCCTCTATTGTACGAACGCATAATAGGCGATCTGCAAAGTCATTTCCATTGGTCATGTTACAGCTTCCCTGTTTTACTTGGTAAGTTAGTACATTTTACGAGCCTCAACCATGTGGCGTCACTGTCGAAAAATCCTCATCATTTTATACACAGTACCTCGATTTGCATGCTGCAGACTGGTGTGTACAGACGATCGCAGTTACCCCGGTGCTTAGGAGGTGTCGCGATGAATTTAGCAAGACGGGGCAACCTTTGTCTTAACCACGGATTCAGCTAAGCAAGAAATTTACCATAGGCTGCTCGGTCGCTAGAGCATGAGCCTCAGAACCGAAAAGTCCGGGGAGTTTTGCCTCCGGTGAGGTCGTTCGCCTTCTTTCGAAGGTTGACAAATTAGTACCACTCTACGGCAGCTATGCTTGCCATGTAGCGGTCGTCGAGTCTGCCTTTGAAACCTGAAAATCGAAATCAACTCCGTACTTGTTTATGTCTCAAAAAGAGGGTCGCCAGAAATGACCAAATCAATGAAACAAAACGATGACCGATGGTCGCAAACTTTCCTTTCCTTACATTTTCAAGCCGCAGACATTTCCATGATTCATGCGTGATGCATACTAGTGGTGTACAAGAAAATGATTTAAATTGTGTTTCGCATTTTATAGGAACTTTACTGAAAACAGCATCAACACGATTCTACTATATTCAGCATAACTTGTCGGTTCTTCCAATGACAGACCATCAAGTGTACTATAGCAGTTGAGTATTCGGTGAACCAACAGTTAAGACCACTGTTTGTAACAACGTTGTATAGATTCCATTTTACAGTATGAATATAAAAGCATAAACCAAGCACTCCGTTTCAGATACATGAAATGAAAGATTTCGCAAAACTGGTAGTTTGTTCGTAAACTCGCAAGATCAGCTTAATCATCTTTTAATGCATTTTGCATTATTCCTTGACTTTTAGGCTTTCAGAGATTGGTCAGTCATAGACAAGATTTTGGGTGACAATGATTTGCTATTTATACTAACACTATAACACTATAGATGCTTTGGTAGAAGTTATTGCAATACGCATAATGTTGGCCTCCTGATCTGCTCTTGCCGTGTTTCGGCTCCCAGACGAGAAGCTCATGGGCTTGAGTAAATGATTTATTCTCAACCAATTTGTTAGAGCCCACCTCATTTGCTTCATCTCCTCATCTGCCACGTACATCTGCGCCAGGAATACGTACAAATCAGTTGGCAAGATTGTTTATACTTTTGTGACCTGCATAAAGTGGTATGTATGGTTTTATATCTAGTGCCATGCTGCATGCAATGTAGACCATATGCTACCATGGTATGACTTAGGAGCGAGTTTTGAAGTGAAAAAAAATTGGATTCAAATCAAGCACATGAAAATGGAATTATTAAGCATCTTCGAAAGGTTAAACGTTTTGTGACAAATTTCGGTCATAACTCGAAAATTAAGAAACGCATGAACTGCCAGGTTAATAAAACCAAGAAACTATCGTCATAGACGTTGGGTCGAATTCCATCGGCTCGTGAATGTCTAAAATTCTGGTTGATTTGGACTGGCCAGTGACGCTCCTCAGGAAATCGGTCGATCGCCAAGAGTGTGGACTGATGTCACGGAGCTTTTCTGATCTGCTGTTTTGTTGTCGGTCGAATGGAGGGACGTAAACAGCCGTTGGATCGAATCGATGCCAGTAAACAGCAGTTTCCCTAAACCTCGTTGTAATACTGGCCAACGAGGCCCCAGACTTCTGCTTACACTTGGGTTGGTAATCCGCAATCAGGTGCGATGCGTGGTAGGTGCAGGCGGACCGCTGCTCAATAAGTGCAAGATAAATGAATCGCTGTTTTATGAGTTCGGTGACAGGCAAACAGTGGAACGCACTTAAAAAAGGAGGAAGCAATTTCCTGTCGTTTTTCCGGTTTCATGCACACTATCGAATGGTCGGTTCGTGGCATCGTTCTGAAGACGTACTCTTGAATGTAAGCAAATTCTTCTGCGAAACGAGTGTGCAATGAGTGACTCGCCCTCAAATGCTTTCAACAGGCGCATTCCGTTTTTCGCAAAATATCAGAACGTGTCTTCCTCTCGGATTTGCCCTTTTCGTAGCATTCCCTTCCGTTTAGATCAATAACGCTTCTTTAATTGACATATATCTTTCTTACAAAGTGATTTGTCAAAAGTTGATTAGCAATATTTTGCATATCGAATTTTTCTAGAATCAAAAACAGCCCGAAGAGTGCGGCAGTGTCTAAGTCAAACGTAGACCCCGTCTTCGAGAATGTCGTGAGATCGAAGTGAAATAAGCGACATGTTTGTCACCAGGTAAAACATGTCGTCCGGAAACGGCCAGCGATTGAACAATTATGGATGGCATATTGAGGTGATATTTTTATGTGACCTTTGAAGCGCTTGAGTGACGACACCGTGTGCGTGTCACCAGTGGTGCTCAGCACCTTAAATACCCCGCTCCTCACACGTAAATTCTGCTCTTCGTTGCGACGTCACGCAACACCACTTCCTGACGACGGAGAGCGGATCTTTTGAATGCTCCATTGATTACGTTGAGGGTGCCGTTCAGGTCACTGGCTTGAATTAACACCAAAAAACCATTTTCCTCGAATGAACCTCACCCGCAGTTTTGACTACCTTTCCACCAGATTCGCCGTATGCGACCGAGAATATCGATCTTCCACTGCCCTTTACGAAATGAGCTATCAACAACTTGCTTCGTCATGCAGGCTTTGTTGCTGTTCTTTGGACTGATCACTTGAAACATTAGAGATTTAATAATCCCATATTAATTATGACTGACATTGAGAAACGATTCTTTTCAGATTTAAGCACTACCTGTTTCGACGAAGAGAATATTGCTTGTCGCAAAAAAATCGGCATTTAATCATTTCGCCACATTGATTGGTGACGTGCACGCCTGGACTACATCAGAACAGTTATTTGGGTGTAGGGCTTAGACAGCTTCATAAGAGTTGCAAACAGGGCTTTAACCAGATATTGCACAGCTGTCGCTACAGAATCAACCGACGTGGCGCCGGGTTCATCTCCATGGCAGAGGAACGATCTTTAGTTTAACAACGAATCCCGTTGTAAGGAATTTGCTAAGCGCTGCTTTAGACCGAGGTTGCTTACTCAGTAAAGCTTCGGGCTCACAACCGAGAGGTCCCGTGTTACCACGATGGCAGGGTGATAAATGGGTATCACTCTGTGGGAAAGATACAGCAGAACATAACACCTTGCTTGCATTTGCTTGTTGTTCACTCGCCTTTAAAATAAAGCACTCCTGGTAGATTGCAGGTGAATGAAGGTGAGCGCCCAACAAATAACGTTATGAACAGACGGAAGCCAAAAATGGCGCCATGATAAAATTCCAGTAGAAAAGAAAATTGTTTTTTTTAATGAATCGATATGCCGGTTATGTAGGAACGAAATTTGCGAGGCCTGGTATAGTAAATGCTTAAAAAATCCTGCGCAGTATGGTAACAAGTTGAGCATGAAGTTCTTGCTCATCTTCGGTGCATGTTGTCATTGCCGACTTTTAGACGATAGAGTACTCATTTACCGAGGCATAGGGAACACCCTTGATGGCACTAGAAATAACTAGACTGAAGAGAAAGTACTTTGGTGTGATCACTACTTGTAACAGACATATTTGTTGAGAAAAGCAAATAGTTTATTTCAAAAATATAGATAGCAAAAATCATTATTCAGCGGTCTTCTGAGAGAACATCAGTTTGACTCTATGAAGCAGTTTGGGAGTATCAGTGAACTTGAAATCGTAGCTGAGTGGAACGTCCAAACTTATTGTTTAAGAGATTAGAGTGATTGAAGGCCAAAGATCAGATGAAGAGCATTACAACCGGAACGAAGATTGAATTTTGAAAATGGATCACTCACCAAAGAGATATGGTCTAGATATAATAGAAGAAATAAACGCTGATCAGACGGGAGAGATGATCTGACAAAGGACATAAGTGTAAAAGCCTTTATATGGACCACTGTGGAGTTTCGAAGAAGTTATGCTTCTCAGAAAGAGGAAGGGTTGAAAATTAGTTTTTATCCATTAATGATATCAAAACTTTGATTTCATGAAGAGCGATCGAAGCGATAATTAATTCAGCAAACTATGTAAAATTAGTTGTATTTGTGAAATACATGTTATTAATGGTTATAATAAGGGGCACATAATGTTATTATATGGTTATAATAAGGGGCTCGTTATTATATGTTGTTTGGTCATCATAACCCTGGATCGTTTAGCGGCTTGTGATTCATTATGCTCGTTCATCTCCGCGTTTCGAAAGTTTCGTTGATTGCATAAATCAGTTTCACTTCTTCTACATTTGAGCCGTTTTCCACTGGCCGTCTGTCGTTCATGTTCAGTCCTTAGGTTAGCAGCCGAATGACGTTTGACTGGTGCAACGCAGACAGTTTAATCACGTCGTTCGTCTGTGATCGTCTGAATGATGCTTGTTTGGTCGACTGAGGAGGGTGACGGTCTTTTCCGATGCAGCCATGCCAATTCATGCTCAATGTGCATCGGCACCAACGCCGTGTTCAACCGTTCGGTGTCAGCGTCATTCGTATGCTCAGGAAAGAGCTGCTCACTGCAGCCCGTCGAGCCATCGAGCATTATGGGCTCGTCGCTTTCGCGTAATATGGCAATGGCTGCCTTGTCATAACCTGTCCAGAAGAAAAATGAAAAATCTGTATTTCATCATTCATTGCGTAAGCGAACCACTATTTTACTATGCGGTGGTTTAACATCGGCCAACGGCGCCAGTTCTACCTCATGGCTTCCAAGGTGTCCAGTGTTTTTCCGTTGTTGTCGAACTCTGTGTTGGCTACCTGTCTGAGCCAGGTATAGGCTACCGATGTAGGATCTTGTACAGTCTGTTTGTCATACGGTTGTGTAGGAGATTTTAACGCGTGATGTGGAGGGTGGTGTGTCGTGGCCACCAAAATTGTGATCATCTTATCTAGCGAAGAAACGATGCATAAACTATGGTATTTTGAATTGCCATTCTACAAATCTTATCGATCTTCGTGACGCTGTTAATTCTTTGAGGAAGCCGCATGTGTATCGTTTGCTTCCGCAGTTACGCTCGATCGATCGGCATCCATAAAGCCTGAGCATCAGCAATGAGGCAATCGCACAGATTTGAAGTCAGATTGTGGTTTCGTGCTATTGCTCAGCTGCTGCGCCCTCCCCTCAAGCCGGTGACTCCAACATTACTGTTCTGCGTTCCTTTGAGTGCCCGTTGTTGGAACCATTTCCAAAGGTCACGGTTTTGTCGTTAAACACGTTTCGACGATCCGTCTTTGGTTCGGAGTGCACGATGACTCCTGCTTCATCGCGTTCGATTTCTCTTGCGAGAGCCATATGTGCATGCGCACGTACACGTATGCAAATATGCACATTCATAATTAAAAAATAATTAATATGCATACATGTATGCATCAAGAACAGATATGATGACCATAAATCTGGTCCACTCTGCGTTTACGCTCTGCCGGTCTTTGCTGACAATAACAAACAACAACGTACATATGCACAGACGTGTGCAGCTTCTCGCTTTGTGAAGCAGTCCTTCACCACATCCTAATTCCGTAATTTTCATTTCATAGCTGTACGTCCGATAAGTGAATTGATCAGACGGCGATTGCTGCTTTTCGCAGCGGCCGTTATCAAAGTATTTCTGGCAGTTAGCCATCGGCTTCATTTCGCACTGATCTGAGGCAAAAACGGAACTCAAAAATAATTGCCATCTCGTCAGAGGCTCACAGATCACCACAGACTCCGCCATTTTCTGCGTAGGTATAATTTAAATGAAAGTTTATGAAAACTAGAAAATGTCAAGAGAAAGCATACTACCAATTCAATTAAATGTATTTAAGACAGATAACCTAATTGCTGTGTCTTTCAATGAATGACTTTTGGTGGTATTAGTTGTGAGACATATTTTAAATCTTGAGTCTAAACATAATTCGTCAAGAAAATCAGTGGTTTGTTGGAGAAAACCAATTAATATACAAATGGACTTCGGCGATCACCCTTCAATTTTTTAATTTCATCCTTAGGAACGTCGATGACTCAATTCATCTGAAACATAAGCTCACTGCCACGTGTACATCGCTCGTGTACAATCCATACATATTGCGCCTTGTAGGCTTTCCTTGATCTGTTCATCAACCCTTTCACATCGTCAGCACATTAGCGATCAGCTCATAAAAGGAGTCTCTCAAAATGCGGATTTAGAAGGTGATTACCGAATGATACACCGATCGGTATGCTCCTCGTCAAAATAGGAAGTTTATTAATTGCAGGATGAAAAACATTAAATCACGTGAGCATGCCACATAGAAGTCGCTTAAGCGGAAATTGGCCTCATCTGTCATTTTAGTGAGACGGAAATACGGCACCCTTTCTCATTACCTGCCTCATTAGTGTCACGCGCCAAACAAAAACTGAACTGCTGAGATGCCATTCCTTTTTGTCTCAAAAATCATATTTCAAGCTTTTAACTCTACTGGTTATCTGTCAACCAACCGTTTGGTTCCAGACGAAGAACTTAGCTGATATTACGTGAACATTGGCATTGTGATTGATTGGGTAATTAAGTTTGTGGCACAAAGTTAATAATCGTTTTCGAAGACCAGCGGAAAAATAACGTAGGTGAGGGAATCCCACGGGCATTTAAAACAGAGTTGGTCGAAGGCAGTTCGCCGTTCGACTGGAAAACATGTCTTTTGTCTGAGGTGTCAAAATGCGCTGATGCCCAGTGTTGTTCGTTGCAGTGGTCAAAAGTATGCCAATGATTATCACAAAGATCAAATTTACCTCCAAGTTGCCGTCCTCTCTGAAGACGAGTCGAAAACTCTTATTTGTAGTGTTTAAGTGAGGTTGGCATTCCTATCCACTAGCGATCCGTCGAAGTTTGCAGCCTGAGAATCAGTCGTACATGATCATCAATGATCTTGGTGTTTCATACGAGAGTGCTCACATATACCTTTTAAATTACCGACCTGCCAAGCCACAATGATAAAAACAGATTCGATAAGGGCAGAATCGTTGAAGCCAAATTTGCTCCCGTGAGGGGTTAGCAGCGTTTTAGTAATGGTTCCCGTCCCGGCATTGCTGAGGTCCAAGTAGTTATGCCTGTTCAGATAAATCTTGGCTTCAGACACACAGAGCTTCTTTAAATCTTTCTAAATGCAATGTTCTTTCCGGCGCATATTGCGCTGCTATTCTGTCACCGGTGTTTTTTGACGACAAGTTGTTGAATATAAGCAGAATTATTTTTGCATTCTGATTCGATTATTACAGTATCTTTAGCCTGCTTTCTACCTGATCATTGTTCATCAATCAGTCATAAAATCAGCCATTACTGTCTTGATGGTTTTGAAGAAATTAACTCCTGAGTGGCAATCCAGCGTTTGTCATTTCCGGTTCACTTAAAAAAGCGTCTTTCTATTCTTTCATCTATCCGACTTGTTTCAATCACCGGCCGCGCCTCTGATTCGACTCGGCCTTCTGTCACTCTACGTCTGCGTTGTGCCATTTGCTTCTACCACTGATCACACAGCTTCGTCATTGGGAGTCGTCTCAGCGTGTTGTTGGACACGACCGAGTGAACGCTGTCTGGCGAGAAGAACGTATTTATAACCGGGCATGTCCATCTGACCTGTTGTCTCTTCCACGTGTAAACGTCAATGAGTACACCCACAAATGGTGTCCACCGCTGAACCGTCACACTCGGAACATGTTCTCGAACGGACACCTTGCATATCGCTCCTTTCATCGACCTTTTCGGCCACTACGAGTTTTTTGCCTCATCATTCGTGGGGTCCACCACTCAGGCCATGAATCATAGCGGGTTCGATGTCGGAGTCAAGCAGCTCTTTCTTCGAGGACGAGGGAGGACAAATGTCAGTCGTGCGGCGATCGAAACCTTCTGGTGCCACCTTGTTTCTTCTGCTGCTCTCGTCGTTGATGTTATTATTGGAGTCCAGTACGTGGCCGAGGTATGCAAACCTAGAGTCTATTCCATTCGTCTGCCGTCAACGAAAATGGCACCCGCGGCGCCGGCGCTTTCACATCGTCTACAGACAGATAGCGCGTGGCTCTTTCTGCAACTGCACAATATTTCTTTGGAGATGCACCGAGTCTTCGGTGAGGATGGTGAGGTCGTCTGCAACGAGCAGATGGGTGAACCATTCTCCGTCGTTGTTTATGCCACCGTCTCAGTTCAGACGATTGAAAAAGCGGATTGCGATGCGGTCATGAAAAGCATGGGCGAGGCGGTTCTCATTGGAGCACTCCTTTTTTAGTGGTGATTGACATTGATCGCTAAAGAGTTTGCCCTCGGCTGCAGCCTTTCCTCGGTCGGGTCGCCGCAGAGAGGTTAGGACTGATACCGTAGTCGTGCAAGGCGTTCAGCAGAGCGATCGCTTTTCCGAAGTCGGTGACTGCGTAGCACAAAGGAAATTGGTATTTTCCTTGCACTTCCGTATTTACAGCTTCATGACGTGAGTGTGGTCTGCTGTGGAGAATCCTGTTCAGAAACCGGCTTGTCCTCTGCTACCGAGCAGTCCTAAATATTTCCGAACGCGATTGAAGAGGAATCGGCGAGGCGGGGGGGGGCTTTTAACAAGAGAATGATTGATCGATAGTTATTAAGGTCTTCAGCATAATCTTCCTGGAAGGATGGAGTCGTCGAAGAGGTCTTGCACGCTTCTGATATCTTAGGCCGGATGTTGTCGGTTAATCGTTCGCCTAGGGCATTGAATAGGATCATATTGTTCATGGCGGAACACCTCCCACTTCTGATGTTTTTGATTGCCTGTGTTGTGACTTCGTTCCAGGTGCCATCGGGAACGACTTGCCTCTGCAGACACTTGGCACTCATTACGGACGATGTTTCAGAACCTCATGCTACAAATATTCTCTCGCATAAACACCGAAATAGACTAGTATGCCAGAATATGCCAAACAGTGTATGAATCCTTCAAGAGCAAATTTCACGGCTTACCACACCAACGCCTTGCTCTACTACAAGAGTAACTTAAGTAGTAACGTGTCATAACTGTCCGTATGGAAATTTCAGAAATAGACTTTTAAGGCAGTTTTTTACTCGCCTATGACGACGCTGTTTATGCACGTCAAAGCTTTGCTGCACTATAGCGCCTGTAGTGCATAGCGACAAAGTCGTGTCACTGTGTTGGACAAAATGTTGACACATCTTTCTACATATATCTCTAGGATATGGGTTTTCTCGGACCCATTATTCGTTAATAATGGCCATTATTTCATTTACTACCTTTCCATCATGTAGAAAAAATAATTTTGTGGTCCAGCAGGCGATAAAAGGAAAGAGGAAGTGGCAGCGTTCCTTCGGTTATGCTGGAAGTCGCCTGTGGCAGTGGATTGTTCAAAGTCGACATGCTTGTTATATGAAGTTTCATATTAAATAATTCATAGATAGGTACTCTGATGCTGTGCATAGTAACACGCACATCGTTTGACTTCTAGCTCCTGATAATTACCTGGATTTTAAAGCTACGTTTGGCTCAATACAACGTTCAACGATGTGCAAACTGGATCGCACATACATGCAGAAACCATGTAGGCTTTCGAAGTCATTTAAGACTAGTCTGAATGGTTTTCCTGATTCGGGTGAGTTCCTCAGGGAGATGTACTTTTACCTGTGCTCCTCAGCATTGCTCTCTACTTTGATTTCCAAAGCGGTGCTGACCTGAGAGAAGGTTTCATGGCGGAGGGAGGGATGAGTTCAAGATATCCGGCTAAATATCTTTTTGATCTGTATACAGTGAGGAAAAAATCGACCTGGTAAATAGTACAGCAAACAGACAATGTCACCTGATCAGTGCCTCATTTAACACAGCTGCGATATCCGGCCTCTTTTCTAACTCCCGGAACTCTGACGTCATAGGAAACCAGTTAGATACA